ATGATTTTTCTTCACAGATGCTGCCAGACCTGCTGAGCTTTTCCAGCAACATCTGTGTTTGTTTGTGAAAGATCTTGATATTGACACTATTTCCAGTCTCTGCCTATGTAACTGTGCAGGAACTGTGTTTGGCTGACACCATGTTCATAGACAATTCATGTTCAGGAATCTGTTGCCTGGGCCTAGTAGATTATGTGATGTGTGAGCATCTCTGTGTTTGCCTCTGGACCCATCATTCCTACATATTGTTGTTGTTCTCCTGATTCAGATTCACGTATAAGATGACTGCCTTGGGCCCCTTCATCACCAGCATCGCTGGCATTCCAACCAAAGCTCAAAAAAGGACCTATTGGCAGTTTCTGAATGGGACAATATTAATTCCTGTTGGTAAGAAAGAAATTGTGTATATCTCATTTTTACATCACCTGTTGCTAACTGTGAATGCCCATTATCGAGGTGTAATAAAATCAAAATCACTGCCATCAATTCAGGACACATCAGATTCCATGCTGATCAATGTGATAAATAACGATATGAATACTTATGCTGATGTTGATGGAGGGATGTATATTGGTCTGGACACTTTGAAAATGACTCGACATACACCGACTACTGGGATACTCCTACAGAGCAGTCCACCCCATGTATAGGCAAGATAGCAGCGCAAGAAATCCCATAGTGTTGATCTGACAGTATGGAGCTCCCTTGGTCATGATCATCTGACAATGCAGTTCTTCTGACAGTATTCAACTCCCCCAGCATTGATTATCTAAAATTCTAAAGTTCCCTCAGTACCCACACTTTGACAGTGCAACTCTTCCTTCGAACTGCTCTTCTGACCTTGCAGAGCTCATTCAGCTGATCCTCGGAGAGTGCATTGATCCTCAATTATTGCCACTTATTACATGATTCCTTCAATTCTGCCCATTTCATATTGCAGAGCTCACACAGGGCTGAACTTTTGAGGGTACGACACTCCCTCAATATAGTCCTTGTGACATTGCAGTCCTCCCTGAGTATGAAACCTCCAAAGTGGAAACAAACACATCGGCCCAACAAATCCTCACCGACCCTTATAAGCCATCCCACGCCCGTCCCTTCCCTGCAACGGTACATGTCCCATGGCTAACACATCTATGAACACTATTGGCAAATTAGCATGACCAATCCACCTGACTTATACATCTTTGGATTGGGGGAGAAATCTAGAGCACCAGGAGAAAACCAACACAGAGACAGACATGGGGAGAATGTGCAAACTCCACACAGACAGTTGCTGAAGAATCCAGGTCCATGACGCAGCATGACGCACCATGATGCAGCAGTGCTGACCACTGAGCCATCTAGCCACTCCAGAAGTGCAGCATTTGTTCAATACTGACATTCCAGGTTGCTCTGCCCCTTTAACAGTGACTCTGCAATGTTCTATTTCCTCATGTTATTTTTGCCAGTGGATGTGTGTTGCATTCTATTCTACCCTCTGCAAGACTATCATTAACTGCTGAAGTTAAATCCTACCAATATCAGGTTTACCCATTTGATTTTTTTTCTTTTTAGGTGTTGCAGAGTACAAACCTTCCAATGGGGAGCATGTCATTGCAAGACTCTCTAAATATTGATTCATGATTGTAGTGAGCAGGTGGTAGAAAATAGTCTGAGACCAAGAGCTAATGTACATCAATGAAGTAGGTGTAGACTGTTTCAAAAGAGTTTCTTTTGTGTATTAATCAAATAGCATTGCACCCCGACACAAAACAGACCTCTTTACAATCTAAACAAGTACCTCTGACCCCAACATGACCTCCCTCTGACCCTGGCATGATCTAACTGTGACCCTGACATGACTGCACATGAACTCTGATACAAATCCAATCTTAAACCGCTGCTAACCTGACACTGACCCAACATTGACCCTGATGTGAAACCATCTCAAATCCAATATACCACTTGACAGACTTGCCATGATTCTAATATGACAGCCTCACTTACCAGTCAGGGCCCTTACGTCATCAGGCAAGGTTGGCACCCGGTCACCAACAATTCAATTTTGAGCCCTATGACTGATGCCCTGACATATCCCCAAATTGATCATGGGCTTGTCTTGATATATACAACTCTATTAGGACTCCAAATGAGTGTAAACCCCAAAGACCTTGAACTCACCAAAAACCATCCAGATTTGCCTTTGGAAGATTCAACAGCTCTGCAAATTCACCAGGAAGCCTAACATGGCTCCTAAAGTGTGTATGTTTTGATTATTACTTTAAGAGTGCTCCTGTAACCAACCCCCTCCTCTGGGGCCTCAATGCCAAACTATCATGCCTTTCTTGACAGACACGTGCAATGCTGTATCTTACTGAGGAGTGCATCATACAAATGCTAACAGGTGGAATAACGATATTCAAATCGGCAAGTGAGGGGGACTTTCGCTCACTGAGCGATAACAATAATAATCTTCAGGAAGGAATTAGTTACATACTTAAAGGGAAGGCATTTGCAAGGGAAGGGTAGGTGGAGTCTGGCATTGATTCCCTTGACATATCTAAAGAATGATCACAAGTACAAATCTTCAATGGTCCTCCATTAACGCAGAGCAAGATCCATGACTCTAGCAGCAGGAAATGCCAACATAGCTGCATACATCTCATCTGTCTACTCAGAGGGGAAGAAAAAGACAATAAAATTGAGACATTTTTACGTGGACACTGAAAAAGGTGGAATTGTTTTCCCTCAAGTAGGTGCAATTAAGGGATTCCACATAAGTTGTTTATTCCTAATCCTAAAAGATATCCATCAGGTGAATAAGGAGAAATTGTTTCCAGCTGTGTCATGAGAGGTAACCAGAGGACACAGAATCAATAGAATCAGCAAATGAACCAAAACAGCGAGACAGGGGCAAATATTCTGTCATGGTGAGTTGTAGTAAAGGGAGACCAGGCTTCCGGAACAAGCAGAATGAAGAACAACTTACGAAAGGGGATTGGATAAACACATAAAGGTGGAACAACTGCAGGTTTATGGGGAAGAGCCATTGATTGTGTCAAATTGGATAGCATTGTCAAAGGGTAAGCATGGAAATGCTGGGCTGAAAAGACATATGTGCTGAAGCAATCTGTGATTTGTCAAGAACATGTGAGAATTCTGATACCAAGGGAGCAATGTAAAATGAAATACACAACTGAACAATAAGAACCATTGAAACTGCTCTCTTATTGCGTTTGTGATTTATCTTTCAATGGCAAAAACACAATAGCAAGCCATGAAGTAAACAAAAGACATGCAGGAGTGATGATAGAGAGCTAGGAAAAAAAAACATAAAAACCAGGACCTCAACAAAGGTAATCTCTGGATTACTTCCAGTGCTATGTGCTAACAAGGGTAAAAACAGGAGTATGTGGCAGATAAATTCGTGGCTAAAGAATTGGTGCAAGGGACAGGGCTTCAGATTATTTGATCATTGGTATCTTTTCTGTGGCAGAGGTGACCTGTTCAAGAGGGATAGGTTGCACCCAAACTGGAGGGGTATCAATGTACTGGCGGGCAGATTTTCTAGTGCTACAAGGGAAGGTTTTAAATAGATTGGAAGGATGTGGAAGCCTCAAGAGCATAGAAGCAAATGTGAGGATGGAAGGAGATACAGTAATCAGAAATAGCAAGTTGAAGAGACAGGTCCGGCTGGAACATGACAGGGAGTGAGGAATGCCTGTTGGATTAATTTGCACCTATTTCAATGCAAGAGGGCTGACAGGTAAGGCTGATGAATTCAGGGCGTGGATAGGTACATGGGACTGGGATATTATAGTCATTCAAGAAACATGGCTAAGGGAGGGACAGGATTGGCAGCTTAATGTGCTAGAGTGCAGGTACTTGAGGTGGGACAGAGGTGGAGGAAAGAGGGGAGGGGGAGTTACATTTTGGATTAAGGGGAGTATCACAGCAATGGTCAGAGATGAAATGACTGGGAGATCATCCAGTGAGGCTTTGTGGGTGGAGCTAAAGAATAAAGAAGTGACCGTGACCTTACTGGATTTGTACTATAGGTCTCCAAATAGTTAACGGGAATTAGAGGAAAAAATATGCGGGGAGACTGGGGAGACTTGCAGGAGTAATAGTGTTGTCATAGTGGGGGATTACTTTTCCCAACATAGACTGGGACTGCCACAGTGTTAAGGGCTTAGATGGCGTGGAATTTGATAATAGTGTTCAGGAAATTTTCCTGAAACAGTAGAAAGAGGGTCCTACTCGGTAAGGGGGCAAAAATTGAACTAATCTTGGGAAAGAGGGCAGGACAGGTGACTGAGGTGACAGTGGGGAGGGCTTTGGGACCAGTGACCAGGTACAGGCAGCTGGAATCAATGGAATCCTTGGTGGTAGAAAGGGGATACAGGAGTTTACTGAGGAAGAAAAGCAGAAGGGTGAAAAGCGGGCATGAGATGGCTTTGGCTGAGAAGATTTTGGCATATACAAAGAGATTCTTTATGTATATTAAGGGAAAAAAGAACAACTAGAGAGAGAATAGGTCCCCTCAAGGACCAATGCTGACATGTTGACAACCAAAGGAGATGGGTGAGGTCCTCAATAAATATTTAATTTACCATGGAGAAAGACTTGAAGACTTGGGGAAGTTAGTGATGATATCTTGTGGAGAGTCCATATCACAGTAGAGAAGGTGTTGGAAGTATTAGCGTGTATCAGGGTGGATAAATCTCCTTATCCTGACCAAATGCATCTAAGAACCCTACAAGAAGCTAGAGAAGAAATTGCGGGGGCCCTATCTGATATATTTGCATCATCATTAGCCGTAGTTGAGGACCCAGAAGACTGGAGGATATCAAATGCTGTGGCCATTTTCAAGAAGGGCTGCAAAGAAAAAAGCTGGGAATTACAGACCAGTAAGCCTAACATCTGTGGTAGGTAAGTTACTCGAGAAGATTCTGAGATAAGATACACATGCATTTGGAAAGAATGTGCTTGGTTAGAAGTAGTCAGCATGGTTTCTTGTGGCATGACTCACGAACTTGTTGGAGTTTTTGAGGAAATGACTGGGAAAGTTGATGAAGGCAGGGTGGTAAACATAGTCTATATGAATTTCAGTAAGGCCTTTGATAAGGTTCCACATGGCAGGCTGCTCTGGAAGGTTAGATCGCGTAGAATCCAGAGGAAGCTGGCAAATTGAATACACAATTGGCTTGATGGTAGGAAACAGGGAGTAATAATGGAAGGGTGATTATCAGGCTGGAGGCCTGTTAGGGGTTGGTACTGGGCCCATTGCTCTTTGTTATCTATAATAATGATTTGGGTGAGAATGTACAAGGCATGATTAGTGAGTTTGCGAATGACAATCAAATAGGTGGTATCATCAACAGAGAGGAAGGTGATCAGAAATTGCAGCAGGATCTTGATCAGATGGGAAGTGGGCGGAGAAATGCGAAATGCAGTTTAATATAGATAAGTGTGAACCTCAGGGTGAACTTTTTTACACAGAAGGTGGTATGCTTATGGAATGAGTTGCCAGCAGAAGTGGTTGAGGCAGATACATTAACAACATTGAAAAGTCATTTATATGAATACATGGATAGTAAATGTTTAGAAGGGTATGGGCCAAGTGCAGGGAAATGGGGTTAATGTGGATGAATAGTTTGGTCGGCATGGTCCAGTTTGGGCCAAAGCGCCTGTCTCTGTGCTGTATGACTCTATGACTCACATTGAGTCCATTTATCATTAATAAGGACACCCACAGTCATGGAGTATTTAATCACAGAAAATAACCCCGACAACAGCATCTCCTTCGCATATCGTTCATGTGTCACTTGCAGAGCAGACCTAGTATTGGTTGGCCACCTAGGCATAGACTCGAGAAGTAGTTGTCACGGGAGTTTTCAACATTGACAGTGAACTCCAAGAGGTCTCATGGCATCCTGTCAAATATAGGCAAAGAAATCTCCTGCCGATTACCACAGAGCACAGCCCTTAAGCTCATGTCTCTGTGTTCCTCCATGTTGAATGTCACTTATAGAAAGTACTGAGGGTGGTAAGGACGTGGAATGTACTCTGGTTAGAGAGGACTTCAAAGTTCAACAGCAAGAGAGGTTTGGCAGCAGCATTGCTGACTGAGCCAGTCAAGTTCTAAAGTGCAGAATTGTCAGTCTGGGTATCTGGTACTTTGTAAAGGACTGAGCTTAAGAGAAAAAAAACCAGAACATCCTTAATCACATTTTCACCAAACTGCATCTCTCAGATGCATCTGGCCATGACATTATCAATTGGAGTGTCCTCCCCAATAACTCTATGGAATCGAAGCCACATGTTCAAAGTGATGATTCTCACCATTGTCTTGAGTCTCGTTAGGCTGGGACATCTTTTACTGGGGTGTAAGCGGTTGAGGGGTGACGTTACAGAGGTTTATAAAATCATGAGAGGCACAGACATTTTAAATAGCAAAGGTCTTTTCCTAGGGTAGTGGAGTTCAAAACTGAAGGGCATAATTTTAAGGTGCGAAGAGAAAGATTTAAAAGGATCCTGAAGGACAACCTTGTCACATGAAAGGTGCTTCGAATGTGGGATGAACTGCCAAAAGAAGTGACAGGTACAGTTACAACATTGAAAAAAATATTTGGACAGGTACATGTATTGGAAAGTTTCAGAGGGATATCGGCCAAACGCAGACAAATCGTACTAGTTTAGTTTGGGAGAACTGGTCACCTGAAGAGTTGGGCCAAATAGTCTGTTTCCATGCTGTGTGTCTCTGTGACTCTATGAGTAGAACGATTGTCATGCTAAATATTATAGACTTTTAAAAGGCTTAGTAATTCAAGGCTCAGGCCCTAAAAGATGCTGTGAGCCATTAGATGCAACACGATAATGCTGCAACAAAATATGCAGTTGGCCATGAACAGATCAGATCTAAGTTCTGTAGCACTAAAGTATTCAGTGGTGAATAATGAAGGACAATTAAACAACTCACTGTAGGAGGGGGCGAAACAAGTATTCACATCCTCAAGGAAGAGAGATGCCAAAACACAGGTGAGGCACACAGGTTACATTGCACAGGGTGTGCAGTAGGCAAGTTCGACATTAGCAAGATGAAGAACAAAAACAGAAGTTGCTGGAAGAGCTCTGCAGACCTGGCAGCATCTGTGAAGAAAAATCAGAGTTAATGCTTCAGGTCTGGTGACCCTTCCTCAGAACCGAGTTTTAGCAAATATCTGGTCAAACACCAGGAGTGACAGTGAAATTAATGTCTGTGGACAAGAGGAATGATTGGAATGGAAATCTCATCGGAGAGGGGAACCGAACTTTTTCAATGTAGGCATGCCTAGAAGAGATGAGGCAATGAGTTAAATACTAAATAAAAACCAGAATAATTGCAAGTGTTGTAAATCAGGAACAAAAAGCAAAATTAGCTTTATTTGAAGTCAGAGAGTCCATTCATTAGTCTAATAACAACAGCGAAGAAGCTGTTCCAGAAACTAGAGTGTGTGTTCAAGCTTCTGTATCTTCTGCCTGAAAGAAGACGGTTGGAGGAGAGAGGTCGAATGGGTCTTTGATGATGTTGGTAGCCTTTCACAGATTAGAGCCATGTAAATGGGGGAGGGTCTGGGCCTGAAACATCAGCCTTCCTGCTCCTCTGATGCTGCTTGGCCTGCTGTGTTCATCCAGATCTACACCCTTTTATCCATGGATGGAAGGTTGGCTTCCATGATGGTCTGGCTGTGCACACTACCTTTCGCAGTTTGGTACAGTCCTGGGCAAAGCAATTGCCATACTAGGCTGTTATACACTCAGATAGAATGCTTTCTATGCTGCATCTGTAAAATTTGGTGAGGGTCCTTGTGGACATGCTGAATTTTCCGAGGAAACACCTAAGGAAGAAGAGACATTGTTGTTCCTTCTTGACCGTTGCAACTATGTGGCAAGTCCAGGACAGGTTGTTGGTTTTGGGCACTCCTAGGAACCTGACACTCCCAACACTCTCAACCTCCGCACCGTTGATTCACATGGGGGTGTGTTCTCCTCCTTTCTTTCCAAAGACAATGCTCAGTTCTTTCGTTTTGATGATATTGAAAAGGGGTTGTTATCCTTGCATTATGTCACCAAGCCCTCTATCTCCTTTCTGTATTCTGCATCTTTGTTGTTTGATATTGGCCCCACCATGGTTCTGTCATCAGCAAACTTGTAGATGGTATTCATTTGGAAGTTGGCGGC